TATATATATATATATATATGACTTATAGTAGGGTTTTCTCTTATTTTTGCTAATAAGATAAGAGAAAGAATATAACTCAAAATTTTCTTAATACACCTTTCACATAAATTGATCTATGATAAAATTATTTCTACTACTAAAAACATTGTTTCAGAATTTGTAATAACATGAAATTAAAAAATTAAATAACAATGAAAAGAGAAAGTGAAATTAAAGAATTAGGTAATTTTTAAGGGTGAAGTCTCTTATAGTCAAGTTTAGGAAGTAGTCCATCCGTGTAGCATGTTTAGGATTTAAGATGACCGTAGATATAATATTAAAATATTGAACGGTTGAGATTATAAAGTAATGAGTAAAATTTAAGAATTGCATAGTCGTCCTTGTAATGTTTATATTTGTCCGTGTTTGATAGTTTATGAAGGGTTATGTTGTTTTTCAGGGTCGTGCATCATCAGTTGATTTGCGTTCAGGTTATTGTGGCGTTTTTGTTGTAGGAGTTCCGATTAGCAGGTGCGATAGGCGGCCCTCCTCCGCCCCCTGCATGGTCAGCGCAAACTCCTTCTTGTCGGTGACCCTAAAGTTAATCTTGTTGGCGACGGCCTCAAGCTTCCCCAGCACGGCGGAAGTAGAAAACTTGCATATAAAGACTGAGGGCGAGCGCTTCCTGGTCTCGATCAAGCTCCTGAGATCAAAACCGTGGGAGAGCGAGGAAATAATCTCAAACGCATTGTAAAAGGGCCTGGGAGGTTTAGCCTCGTGGTGGTGGTCGTCGTGGAAATCGAGGTTGTGGATGAGCACATCCTCCTTGATGGAAAACGCAATGGGGCTGATGAAACCAATTTGAAACCAAGGATCCTTGACAATATCGGGAATGGATCAGAACCTCTTAGCAGGGTCGGCAACGAGGAGGTTGGAAATGAGGGATTTGGCCTGGGGGGAAATCCAGGGAGGGAAAGCGTAATTAGCTTTGAAAGCCTTTCGGTAAATTCGCATGACTTTGTCGCCTTGGAAGGGTAAGTAGCCGGAGAGAAGGGCGTAGAGGATGACACCGCAGGACCAAATATCAGCCTTGGAGCCGTCGTAGCCTTTTTTTTTTCAAGACCTCGGGTGCCACGTAAGCGGGGGTCCCACAGGGGGTCAGGAGCATGCCGTCGGCGCGACGCTGGTCGGGGAGCGCCGAGAGTCCGAAGTCGGAGACTTTGAGGTCCTCGTTCTGGTCGAGGAGGAGATTCTCGGGCTTCAGGTCCTGGTGGGTGACGCCGCGGCTGTGGCAGAAGTCAACGGCGCTTATTAGCTGCTGGAAGTACTTCCTGGCGAGGTCTTCCGAGAGCTTTCCCTTCGCCACCTTGGAGAAGAGTTCGCCGCCTTTCACGTACTCCATCACCAGGAATATTTTGGCCTTGGTGGCCATCACCTCCTTCAGCTCCACGATGTGGGGGTGCCGCACCAGCCTCATCACCGACACCTCGAGCTTTATCTGCTTCACCAGTCGCTCTTTTTTCAGCTTCTCTTTCTTTATGACCTTTATGGCCACGCTCTCGTTGGTCTCGAGGTTTCTCCCGTGGTACACTGGCGAAGTTTCCCTGCCCCAGGACCCGCCCCATCTCGAACTTCACCCATGCTTCCCAACAAACAACAAAACCAAAACTTCAGCCATGAACGATGTTCAACCCACCACAATTTTCTTGTTCTACACAATACCCTGACTAACGTATCATCAATCCGCTCCTCCGACTCCACAATCAACAAACCCTTTTCACAAGGGTTGCGGCCTGCGACAAACAAAACATGACCACCGTGCCACACTCGTACTTCACCCATGCTTCTCAACAAACTATTGCTAGAATCGTAACAAAACACCACCACTACCGTGGAAGAGTCGTACTTCACCCATACTAAACGGAATCCTAGACAATAGAAAATGTCCGTCAATAACAAATTTCAAAGGACTACTATGCAATTGTTCAAAATTAAACATTAAATTCAATCTCAACCATTTACTTTTTTTAACTTCTAATCTACGGTCATTATTAATTCACCACCCATACACCACTTGTTAAACTGGTCCGTCAGAGAATTTACCATTTTTAAGCTCAATATGGTTATGAAAAATTAATTTCTCCTTCTCACATTATATACATATACACATACATATGCATATATATATATATATATATATATATATATATATATAAAGAGATATCTACTTATTCTAACAATAAGTTTACCTAAACGTACTTTATTTAATAACTTATTTTTATATCAAACGTTAACGATCTAATCATAAAATTAAAAAAATTTAATACATAAATCAAATCTATAAATTTTAAAAAAAGAATGTAAACTATTTAATACTTCATTTCATTAATTCAAATTAACATATAAAATATTTTTTATGATTATCCGTCAATTTGAATTAAAGAAATGGAACATCAAAAAGTTTTTAAAATTTTAAAAAAATTTCACAGTTAATTTATACATTAAGAACTTTTAATTTAATAATTAAATTGTTAAAATTTGATATATAAAGTGAGCCTAACTAAACTTATTCTTATTAAGAGATTTTTCCTCTTTCTTTATATACATTAATATTGATATTTTTTTATTTACTTACACCTCTTTATTGCATTATCTTACTTATCATATTTATTAGTTTTCTCTTATTTTTCTTATTTCCTTTCAAGTCAAATGTATGTGAATTTTTATTGTAATTAATTAGTTATTCAACTCTCTACCCAACAAACATTTTGTTCATTTTAACAATAATCGATCATCACTACCTTTTAATGCTAACATGTAGTAACAAAACAATATATTTATGTTGGATTATTGGATATTCATTACGATTTTGACGAGGTCTAATTGAATGAACAAGGTGATAATCTCGTAATCACCCTCCTCTCCAGGTGGCTCATCCACCATCATTCATCAACAGTGTCATTACATTATCTAAAATTAAGCATTAACTATTGTGGCACCATTCATAATATATATTCTCTACCACAAATATTTTCCTCGTATTAACAAATGAAAACCAAACACCAAATCAGAGCGAAATGACCAAAATGCCCTCGATTCAGTGCCTTCCCAACCGTAAATACGTTCAAAGAAATCCCTCAAACTCAGATAGTTACGTCAAAAATTGAAGCGAAGCGTTTGCGCCAAGAAATTCCTCTTTATCTTTTTTCTCTCTCCTCCAATTTTCTATTATTAAAAAAATATTGGAAAACATTTCCCTTGTTCACGTAGTTAAATATAACTGCACCACCACTATTTATATGGACGTAGCCTTTTTTGTTGCCTAAGATCTAAGGCTTCTTCCTCATTTTGTTTGAGAGGAAGAGAGAATCAGAGGCCATTCTTCCAGAGGATTTAACCACATTACGTTCTAAAGTATAAAATCTCAAGTCGTTAATATTCCCTTAGGAATTGGGTTTGGAGGCACCCCAATTCCCAGACCAACGGTTTGATTTATTGGTGCCTCTGAATCTCTCAAACGTGGGACTCACAACAACCTAAGTTGTAAGTTCATCTGATCCTTGTAAAACAGTCCCATTCTCTTGTTTTTATTCGAGGCATTTTCCAAATTGCACACATAAAATGTTTTAACATTTTTATTCATAATTTGACAAGTTGCTTGCTTTGGTTTTCAGATATTACACTGTTTGTGTTGTTTTTAAGGGTTGAAAATGCTGGGAGATTTCATTAATCGAATCCTTATGTACGTCCCTTTTCTTTTTTTAATATATATATATGAATCTTTTCCAATTTATTTTTGAATCATTTGTTATGTTATGTCATGTCACATTCTTGATCCATTTTTTTTGTTGCAGACTCGCTCTGGGGTATGCATACCCTGGATTCGAATGCTATAAAACTGTGGAGAAAAATAGGGTTGATATTGAGGAACTTCGTTTCTGGTGTAAATACTGGTACAAAAATACTATTATTTCCTGAAATTGGACTTTTAATTTTAAGATGTTGGACAGAATCACTTATGATATGATCAAGACTTTAAATTAATAACGTAGCGGTTAAAGTGCTTAATTGTTTTAAATGCAAATGCATGTGACACTATTGCAAACTTCAATTTAAAACCTTAATTACGACGCTGAAGAAATTTTAACACACAAAACTAAGGCATATATTCATCAATGAGTCAAGTGTTAAAAAATGAGTCTTCAAATTTTGGCCAAAAGAATATTACGAAATATCCAAACCGAGGCCAATACATTGTAAAGAAGAGCAGAGGGAAGAATCACCATGATAATGAACTTGTATGATATTGATTTTTTAGCATAGAAGCAAAACACATGTCCTATTGTCCTTTTTTCTTGCTAATGGGGTTAAGAATACCAGAAAAGGTTGATTGAATAGGAAAAACAAAAAAGTTATCATGCGGATTTTGGTCATGCATCCTATTAAAATGCAAGTTGAATTCTCATTTGCAGGATCATAGTGGCCCTTTTCACTGTACTGGAAAAGTTTACAGATTTTTTTGTTGGATGGTAAGAAATCCCAAGTTTTAAACATTTTTCCACATTGTTGCCTTTTGATTTGGCTTAGAGCAGTAAATTCACTCTGAAATGTTTTGAAGGTTGCCAATGTATGGAGAGATGAAGCTGGTGCTCTTTGTCTACTTGTGGTATCCCAAAACTAAGGCATGCCTCTTTCTCTTCCATTTAATACACTATTTCTTGCACTCGAATTATTTTAATGATATTTGTAGGCCATACTTTGTTATACTGCCATCACAGCTTTCTTGATTGAGGGAAAAAAAGATTATTATGTGTGCCTTGGGATGTTAATGTTATATGCTTTATCGTATTTAAAAATGATATAAAAGTAATGTTATTCAAATAGTGTGGATATGATGGGAGGAACCCAACAACACACCCTTTTAAATACATTATCCAGTAGACTTTTACTTAGTCTCACTAAATAATTTGGATCCACGTTTGGTTTAATAAAACTGGTCCAAATATAATAAAGAATGTTGATATGTATTTACGTAGACTTGATTTAAGGTAAAAAAAAAAAAAAAAAAATGATGCATGGTTGATTTCAACTTGATGATACAAATGTTGCCTCATGCAGGGAACAGGATATGTTTACGAAGTTGTGTTACGACCCATTGTGTCAAAGCATGAAAATGACATTGATAGGAAATTGCTAGAGTGGAGGGCTAGAGCATGGGATTTTATCATATTTTATTGGCAATATTGTGCCAAATTTGGCCAAACTGCATTTGTTCAGGCTCTTCAGCACGTGGTTTCTCAATCCTCCAAAATTTCCACCCACAATAAGGTAAACTAAATTCTCCATTTAAATAGGAACAACATAGCTAGTTTCTTAATACCCCTTGCCCTTTTTTTTATATATGTTTGACTTGTTCAACGTCATTATCACACAAAGTTGTAAATCAAGGCTAATAAAAAAGTAACTTTCTTGAGGTTTCTCAAAGTTTACGATTATCCCTCTTTTAGTTGAAGATATTGCACGTATCAATCGTGTCTCGTCATGTATGTATCTCGATCAAAAAGCATATTCAAGACTTAATATCGGTTGTTAACTCTCTTGGGTCAACATAGGATTTAAGAATATTTATTAGTTGTATTTCTATTTCAATCACAAAAACCCGACTAGCTTCCAACTTGTTTTTAGTGGGCCCTATTTTATCTCCACACACAAAAAACCTTTATTTTAACTTGAAAATCTGTTTTCCTAATGGTTAAGCAACATTGATCCTTAAAAAAAATTATAAAAACCCATTTGTTCTGATTCTCTCAAGTTGTGAGTTGATCATAGATTTAATATTTTATTAGTGTTAAACATTGATTTTATTGTTTAAAAATTGTCTCGTTAATTTAATAAAAATCGAGAATGATTCCACTATTGATGTAACATCTATCTAAACAAATTAACTTTCACAACATCTCAAAATAGCAATCGTGGTGGCATACCTAAATGCATGTCATACCAAATTTAAAAAAGAATAAAAACTAAAAAGTAATAGAAAAAACTAGCTAGTGAAAACAAAAATCATATTCAATCCTCAAACCAATCACAAACCATACATCTCTTTCCTTAACAAGTGTAGAATATATTAAACACTAAAGAATATTTACATTTGCAAATAATAGTGACTGAGGAAAAGTGAATTCCCCCACATTGCAGAAAAACGGAAGTGCCGCAGAAGAGCCCTCAACCCAAAGCGAAACCCAAGCCTCGTTGATGAAGCAAAGCAGCAGCCTAAGCAAAAGCAAGAAGTGGCCTCCGAGCCCCCCTGCCACCCCAACCAAGGCAACGATCCACCGCAACATCTCCATACCAAAGAAGACCAAAACCGTGGAGGTTCGGGGCGAGGAAGAGGCTTGGGACGCCGAACCTGTAGCTATGGACGACGAAGGCGCCAGCATCAAAGACAAAATCAGCGCCGCACGTGCCAGGCTCAGACGGTTGGACTCAAACCCAAACAGTCCTCGAACCCCGCGAACCCCCACACACAATAATAAACTTCAGTAACAACAACAACAATTGTACATACTCAAACTCTATCTCATTCCTCGAAAAAAGAAATTAATAATAAACGGGGAATTGAAATTATTCAAAATTCAAATTACAAATTAGTTCTGCTTCTCAAAAATTGTGATTCGTTGATATATGTATACACTTTGATCCCAGTGACGACATATACATTTGGAATTTGCAATAAGAAGGAATTTTTAATTTTTATTTTCGTGTTTGTAAGCGAAAAAAGACTATAGGAAAAAATTAGACGTTTTTATTATGCTATTGACGAGGGAAGCAAGGGATTGCGTGGAGTATTCGGTGTAAGGTTCGGGTTACGTGGTGGCATAGGAAGGTGAGGCAGGCGGCGAGAGGGTTGTGGCGGCGGAACAAGTGTGGGCCTGATGGGCCGGTGGGGGAAGCGGACATGGGCTGGAGGTAGGCCCAAGCGGCCTGCTTGACGAGGCGGTTGCGGATGGGGACGGGGCGGTTGTGGTGGTGGCTTGCGGCGGGGGAGTTGACAGCGGCGGCGGCGGAGAATGGAAGCACGTCTTTGAGGGAAGTGTAAGAGGGGGGTTTGACGGAGAGAAGCGATATTTTTGGAGTTGTGGAGTGGTTGGCCATGGTTGAACTCTGCAGAAAGAGAGAGAGAATGAGAAGGAAAAAAGAGAGAGTCTTGAACTCTTTGCTCAATTAACGAACACGGAAACACGTTTGCACGATAATGGGAATGGGTCTTTTTCGAGTTCAGTTTTCGAAGGACGGAACAACGATACAATAACAAATTAACACACGCGGTTTCGTTGCAACGGCTTGCTTTTCCTATTATTTATTTTATTATTATGTTTCTCTTTCAGATTCTCCGGATCCAACTCTACCTTTAAATCTGTCCTTCAAAATAAGGATTAGGAGTCTCGTGTTTATTTTGCTTTAAATATTATTTTAATCAAATAAAAAAAATTAAGTCCGATTTAAATTGAATAAATTATAAAATTTGAATCAAATCAAACTATTTTTTTATTATTTGATTTAGATCTATTTTTCTGATTTTTAAATTTTTTTATTTAAAAATTAATTCAAAATATGTTATTTGTTTACAATTATATGTAAAAAAATAAATTAAACTATGTAAACAATGTATTTAACATCAATTCTTATCTTATTATCTTAGTAACAATATTTCTTTAATATAATTTTAGTTGTTATCTTAAATACTTTTTTTCATATATGTAATATATCACTTAAAAAAATATTTTTGAACATTATAAATATATCATCATTTTTCATTCTAAAATTTGGTTTAGTAATTTATAATTTTATAAAATATCTTTTAAATATTATAACATATTTTGAGATAAAAACACATTTTAGTAACTTATAATTTTATAAAACACTTTTTTATGTTATGTGTTAATTTTGTGTTCATGCATTATGTATTTGGAAAAAATATATATTTATAAATAAGTGTAATTTGGTTTGGTTTGAAAGGGTTTCAAATTCTAATTTAAAGTACGATCCTGGAAGTGGATATCGGGATTTGCATTTTGGTGATGTGTAGGTGTAATTGGGTATTTGTTGTAATTTGTTTGCAGTTAGGTTTTCAATTTGTTTAAGCAGATATGGTTTTAGTTTAATAGTTATTGACAACTAACTCTTATTTCTTTGTAATTCAAACTTGTGTTTGTATAGGTTGGAGTACCCTGTGCTCCCTTTTAATTTAATTTAATTTGCTTATAAAAAAAAGTTACTTAAAAGGTGAAAGAGATTTGTAGTATTATTATCTAGTATTGAAGTTATACGATTTTCATATCTCAAATTTTAATTAAATAATTTTAGTTTTTCAAGTATTATATTATAGTCCTTTTATTTAAAATTTAATGATTTTAAAATTATAATATATGGGTATATATATACATAAATATTTAAAATTATATAATTGTTAAACTATTTTATAAATATATAGTTTTAAAATTATATTCATGTATCAAATAGTATATATTTATTATTTTTAAATAAAATTTTTATATATATTATAAGTATATTTATAGATAAATTAATAACTTTATAAATATATATTAATATACTTTTATAAATAAATAAAAAATATTCTATATAATATAAATATATCAGAAGACAATTATTAGAATTTTCGATTTTGATTCATAATGTGACTTGTTAATACTATATTAATAAAAATTATTAGATTTTTTATGAGAAACACTAAGGAGGTGTATTCGTTTAGGATTTCGTAGGATTTTAAAAGACTTTTTTTGAGTAAAAAAATTTATTGGTATTCAATCAGAATTTTATGTCACTTAAAAACAATCCAATGGTATTCAATATGGATTTTCAAGATTTTTTAAAGAGTCTATTGAAATCCATTGGTATTCATTTGAGATTTTTTACAACTTAAAAACAATCCATTGGTATTTAAAAATATAAGGATTTTAAAGGATTGTTGTGTGAGATGGATTTTGAAGGACTTTCTAGTGTTATCTATAAATACCAAATTCATAAAACAATTTCATCCAAACCCATCGGATTTTGAAGGATTGTTTGAAGTGACTTTTCAAGAATTTTCAAGTGAGTTTTTCATCTTTTTTTTTCTATGTTCGTGTCTTCTCCATTTTTTCTCTACTAATAATACTGCACTATTGTTCATTGCTCATATATCATATTGTAGTACTGTTCTCATCTTATTTCCCTATTTTGTGAAACTTCGATATGTAAATGATAGTGTCATTGATTGGCTCTATTTTTTTGTTCGTTCTCTTTAATTGACTTGCTTTATTTTATTCTATGTAGTTGAATTTGTTCCTTTATATAACACTATATATATATATATATATATAAAATGAATTTGTTAGGATTTCTGTGAGTAGAATGAGAAGAAAATGGATCTTAGTTGGGGGAAGAACCCTCCTAGCATAAAAACTGTGATTTCTCTCCTTCCCTTAAGTTTTTTACTCTTATCCTCCTCCTTTTACGACTCAACAATTATTTTATTTTTTTACTATGAATTTTTCTTTTTATTTTTATATTGTGAAATTAGGACTTTTTATATTTTAAAAAAAGAAAATTAACATAAGACATTGCAGTATCTAATTTTTTAAGATTTAGGATTTATGTCCTCATTAGCTTATTTTTTAAAAGAGAAAATATTGTTAAAATATTTGTTAGAATAATTTACATTTATAATATCGTTAAAAATTATCATATAATATATAACTACGCAGAGGCAACAAAACCAAGAAAATCAAAAAGAGTCACCCGAATAAGGATAACCGGGATACTCCACCAACGTCGAAAGGACGTCAGCCAATCATAAGGCATCGCTCACCTCAAAAGGAGCATCTTTGTGTCTGCACCCCCAAGGAATCAGAAATTCCCCAGTGGGCACCAACTTATATATATATATTCTATGTATCTAAATGCTTATTCTTTAAATAATAATAATTATTATATATAATTATTATTATTATTATACTAATATTATGTATATTGCATATGTAATTAGGTAAAAAAAAAATTGGTGGATTGTGGATTTCTTAATTGATGCGATCACTAATAAGATTAATTGTATCCATACCTTACGAAGGTGTTAAAAGAAGAGTTGAAAAAGTAATTACAGGTTATCAAAAGATAATCACTAATAAGATAAATTGCATCCAAACTTTTTTGATGAAATTATATTCGATCTTATCATTAACATGATCGCATCGTCTTTAAGGTGCTTACATGTGAACACGATCGAGGTACCCTAATGTCAAAACAAAAATCATAAGTAAAAGTGTGTTACCAAATTCTACACATTGATAAAGATTAAAATAAAAGCTAAAAACAAAACAAAGTAAGAATCAGATATTAAATAGAATACTTGCTATGTGAAAACAACAATAATAATAATAATAAAGTCAACTTTAATACTATTTCTTTTTTATAACAATTTAAGTCATACTTGTAGAGAAGCAGAGAGGAAATTAAGTTGACACCACGTTGGAACATCATGAGCAGAAAGAGTCCCCAAATGTTGATTTGTCAACCGCAAATTACAATATTAAAAGGTATCACTTTTCCGGGTTTTGTGAATTGAGATGCGATGCTCCTTGATCATTTTTTCTTTCTATGTGCATCACAAAGGCATTATACGTTTACAAAACTATTAAAGGCATGTTTGATTTAATGTTTTAGTGCTTTCAAATGAGAGTTTGCGCGTCTTTCAAATGAAATAGAGAAATAATAAGGTAGTTGTTTTAGTTTGAAAGTGGGTTACTATCAATCAAATTCTTTCTTAAACACATACCATGGTTTCATTTGACTTAACGTTATTTTTTATTTTAAGTTTAAATATATTTTTAGTTTGTGTGAAATAAATAAATTATAATTTTAGTTTTTGTAATTTTTTTCTTTATTTTTCATCTTTCTAAAATTTGTAAACATTATATTTAGTTTCTGAATAATAAACAAATTTTGATTTTGTCTCTATAAAAAAAATATTTTAATTTTCATCCTCTAAAGTTTAAAGTTATTATTTTTTGTCTTTAATGATCATTTTAAGGTGTGTGTATAAATATAACATATATTTTAATCATTTATAAAAAAATTAGAAGTGTCACAAACAAATAAAGTATTATAGGCAGATATCAATACCACTTAGCAATTGGAATAGTCATATAACCTTCTAAATAATTTTGAATTTTACAAGGATGAAAAACAAAGAAAAAAAATTGTAAGGAGTAGAAACATATTTGCAATGTATGCATGCTTAGTGTGTGTCAGAAAGCTAAGGTAGAACATCAGAAATCGTCGAGTTTGTTACAACCCTTGTGTGCCTGAGTGGAAGGGATAATGTTTTCATGGACCACAAAGAGTTTAGAATATTCCATCTAGGTTATAGTGGATAAGACTAACTAAGCTTGCTCACTTCATCCCTGTCAACATTATGTATTACTTGGAGAGATTGGCTAATCTTTACATTAGTGAGATTGTTAGATTGCACGACATGCCTTCTAACATTGTTTCTTATAGAAACCCTAAGTTTACCTCTAGATTTTGAGGGAGTCTTCACCAAACCTTAGAAACCAAACTAAGGTTGAGTTCAGCTTACCATTCTCAAACCGATGGTTAGACCGAGAGAACCATCTAATCCTCAGAAGACTTGCTTAGAGCTAGTGTGTTAGAAGAAAGGATGGCTTTATTATATCTTTAATATAATTTACTTACAA